CTTATCACCTGGTCCAAAGCAGTTTGGAGGACGAGAGTTCAAATAGATTCAACTTTGAAATTATTTGGGACGCCGCTTTGCGTGACGTCTCGAAGCACTTCAGAGGATTTATCGGAAAAGCTATGAAAAGGAATAATGTGCGGTTTACAGGTGAACAGTGCCTTCCGCAGTCACAAAGTGAATGACCAAATTCTGTGCACAAAGTGAACGGGGAAGATAGGGGAGGGTGGGAATATGGGGTGCAGGGGGGAGGGGCAGAGCTTGGGGTGCAACCCCCTTCCTATTGTTATAAGATTCCCAGCACTATAGAGAACGCTGACTGACTGACTGACCTTCCCCCAATTCATATGCTAATGTGATGGGGGCATCACCTAATGTCATGGGCAGGACACAGTGACCGTCAGCTACTAAAGGAGGCAGTGAGAGAGGCAGAGCCTCAGTGGCAACGGTTCATATACATCGCTGTTGCTTGTACCGTTCGGATCTGAACTCTGTCGCGAGAGAGAGAGAGAGAGAGAGGGGAATCCGTGCATTTTTTTGATAGAGCGCCTTATCACAGCTTCGAGACGTCTCAAAGAGCTTCACAGGATACACTGTAAAGTGAACTGGCTGTGTGTTTTGTGGGAAGGATCTTTTTTTTGAGGAACGCTCTTTACTGGCTGCGTTGAGAGCCTCTGTGACTATGCAACGGCCGATCTTGCTGTGCGTGGCGGTGCTGCTGCTGTGTTTGGGGCAGGACCTCTGGGCGATGCCCACCACAGGGGGGACGGGGGCGGGGAGGGAGTCCTTGCCCAGCGAGGATGAGGATGTGATCCGAGGCTTTCTGAGCGGCCGGCTGGAGATGGACGTGCCGGAGGAGAGTGTGACCAACAAGCGGATGGGCCGGAGAGAGACAGTGATGGGAATCCGGCACTCGCACTGTAACCGGCTGAGCCAGCCTTGGCTCGCGGTGACGGCCACCAATGCCTTCCTCGCCAACAGCGTCTCTTACAAGGTGATGGTCACCACGGCCTCCACCGAGCCCCCGTGGAAGGTCTTCCCCCTCTGGCACCTCATGATGTTCATGAAGAGGTTCTACGGCTGCTGTAAGCACGGTTACGGCTGCCGCAAGATCAAGGGCTACCAGGGCCGGCTGATGGGCCGTAAGTAAACCCCGACAACTCGTGTCTGTAGTGATGTCGACAGTAATAATCCCTGCATTTGATACAGCGCCTTACTACGTCTTCGAGACGTCTCAAAGCACTTCGCGGCGTGTACTGTAGAGTGGAGTGACTGTGTTTATAATCGCCCTGTCACGTTATGTAACGCGGAGCACGGTGTGAGGGGACGATGGGGAGGTGGTGTCGCTTATTTTGTACGCGCCTTTCATGGTCAGGAGCTAGCTTGTCTCCCGAAAGCGCTTCCCAGGATTTTACTCTAAAACGCAGCCACGGCAAAGGCAATAATCCCTCCCGAAAAAATACGGGACACTGACTGTGCTTAATTGGTTGCCGCGTTTCGCCCACAAAGTACAGTCACTGCACTTTGCATTGTATCCTTTGCAGCGCTTTTGAGACGTCTCAACGACGCGATAAAGCACTATATCGAATGCAAGGATTATTATTATTATATTAAGTGAGAGGCTTGACATCTCTGGTAGAGATTGGGCTGGTTTTCCTCCCTTGGAACGGAAAAGGTTGAGGAGAGGCTTGATGGAGGGTTTTGCTAATCTTGAGAAATCATTCCCAATGCTCAGTGTGTCAATAACTGAAGGGCACAGATGTAAGTTCATCATCAAATGAGCAAAGGGAGAACATTTGTACAGAGGCTGTGGTTGAGACTCTGTATTCGCTTTTTCAGAGGGGATTAGATAATATGTGAAAATGAGTACTATAAGTGTGTAGCAGTGGCCTGGGTTCAAATGGAGTGCTTTTGTCAAATAATCAATCCGTTATATGATCTCTTGTATCTGGCATCGCACCTTACCACATCATTAACTTGTCAAAGCCCTTCAAGGGATTTACTGTAAACTGTAGTGACTGTCTCTTTGTGGGCGAACTTAGCAGTCAATTTACACATGCCCCACAAACTGGCGGGTGTGAGCTGAGCTGAATGATTTCTTTATATCTGGGGGGTGATTGTCGGGCAGGAACGTGGAAGGTCATAGCACTACAGAGAGGGTTTTGCATTGCTGAGACTGTCAGGGAAGGTATCTTAGTAGGAGGGAGGGGATGGAGGGAGAGCAGGCTTGTTCTTAGCCCCCTGCCCTCCGAGGCTTGAAATTCGCCCTTAATGACAGGGAGGTCTTGAAGACAGGACCTTTACAGGCGCTTTGAGATGTCTTGGAGACTTGACAAAGAGCGATATCAAATGCAAGGATTATTGTTATTAATGGCGAATGTTTTCATGTTGAATGTGTCCCGGCAAACAAAATGGAGGCTGGCTTGACCAGACAAAATGGCTGACGCTTCTCCTCTTTCCTTCCCACAGATAAACAGAATAACGTGGAGTTCTTCCTGAGGCCGGAGTATCTGAAGCTGAACGTGGTACGAGCTCAGCTGCATCTGGAGATCGCCAACCCAGACAAGGTGACCGTGGAGGCGGACGTCAGGGCCAGGCTCCAGGGCCTGAGCGTGAGCAAGAACACCAGGTGAGGGGAGCTCTCTACAGTGAGCAGTTGAGACGTGCCTCGAAGGAGGCGAGGGAGGGAGCGAGGCGAAGGGAATGTGGGAGAGAGTTTCAAAGCTTCGGGGAGTAGTGACTGAAAGTGTGGCAGCCAATGGTGGAATGGAGGGGATGAGGGAGGAAGGAGCCGGTGGTGGAGTGGGGGGTGGGGGGTGAGAGCAGGTCGGGGAGGTAGGGAGGTACCAGGGCGTGAAAGGGGGAAGACACGTCTCACTTTCCTTCTCCGTTCTCTGCAGGAACTTCATGTGGCACAAGAGGGAATCCTCTGAGCTGGCGGTGGACGTGATGTTCTTGTTTAAGATGATGAAGGAGGTGCACGCGGAGCAGGGAGGGGGCAACACCGAGTTCATCCTCATCCTCAAGTGCTCCGAGGAGGGGGGGCCCGTCTCCTGCGGGGAGCACGGGGTCAGTGTACTCCGCGCCCCCTTCATGGCCATCGGCTACACATAGAGCCAAAGATCACTGGTGGTGTAGGGGATGGGTGGGGGGAGAGGATGCCACACGCAGACAACCGCCCCCCCATGGTATCTGACACACCCTGACCCTCTCTCTCAGCTGTAATGCACTTTAGTAACTAAATGAATCTGATTGCACCGCGTCACCAGAGTTTGTAAATACAGATTGAATCTATTTATGTATATTTTTTAGAGGTTTTCTTGGTCTTCGCCGCGCTGTGTGTTTTGTGGGCTCCAAACCGTGACGCCCTTCTCTGTAATCTTTTGTAATAAATGGAATAATCTTATACTCCTTGTCTCCGTTTTGTTGCCTTCATCGCCTGACGTGTTGCGTCCCCGATTGCGACGAGGAGTTGCGTTTACACAGCTCTTTTCATGTCGGGGGGAACGGGAGGTGTGCTTTCAGCTGGTTGAACTCCATCAGTTACCCCAATCCACGACTGTTTGTGGGTAGTTGCTGTGCATAATTAGCTGCTGCGTTTCGCCCACAAGTTATACAGTGAATCCACTTTGCTGCGTAGCCTGTGAAGCGCGTGAGATGTCTCAATGACTCACGAGAAGACGCTATGTCAAATGCAAGGATTATTATTATTGTGCAGTGGTAATTAATGGCTAAATCACTCATATTAGGACGAGGGACATGTACCTGAGTTTTAACGGAACGCACGGGAGGTGGGGGGGAGGGGGAAGGAGAGGAACAAAGGGGTACGAGATAATCAGAGGTGGGGGGGGGAGGCATTGAGGTGCGAAAGACATATAGGTGAGGGTGAGATAGTGCCATGAACTGCAGGGGTTAAAATAGTTCCTCTAAACGGTACGTAAAAGGCACAATTCTAATCTGTTTGACTGGAGGGAATGTAGGGTTTGGTGAAGGAATGTCTCTCTCCCACCACCTCGATTCCTGTAATTATGGGGTGAATGCTGGGCTACTCCTTTCCTTTATTCTGACCCGCTTTGTTTTTGTGTGAAGAGGCCTTGGGAGACAAAAGCGCGGGTTAAGTAGGTGCTAATGTTGGAGAACTCCAGCAGGAGACACCCTGCTTTCATTTCAGATCAGGAATCCTCATTAAATAATAATCCTTTGTGATGCCTCAAAGTGCTTCACAGAATATAGTGTAAAGTGTAATGACTTTATTTGGCGAGGACAAGTTTGCAGGGCCACGGGGAGAGAGTGGGTGAGTGGGGTTTGGATTTGGAAGCTCTTTTCAAAGAGCCGCCCACAGACGCGATGGGCCGAATGGCCTCCTTCTGTGCTGTACAATTCTATGATACACGACTGTGTTTTGTAGGCGAAAAACGGCAGCCAACAACTGGGGTTCCTATTTACTGCTGGGTAAACAGAGGCGTGTGGAGTAAAGAAACTTGCCTAAGATTTAGCCTCACCCGGAAATCGAACCTGGGTCCTCTCGCTTGCTCACTGAGCTACAGGACTCCACATTGATAAATACATACCGATGTACATTTGTGCAAACGAAGGGAAATTAAATTAAATTAAGTTGAATTAAACAGAGCTGCTCACACGCCCTTTGTTACTGCACAAACTGCCCTTTACCATCGTAAGTGAATGCAAATTGCCGTATTTGGCTTCAATGTGACAGCAATTAGGTTCACACCTGACTATCACCTGCCTTCAACACAGCCAGAAACCCAGTGCCTACCCACAGCTTAATGTTCTCTCTCTCTCAACTCCCATTTATATTCTTATCCAGTCACTCGCTCCGCGGCTGTTGTGGTTCTGGACGTTGCTGTGTGCAAACTGTCGGCTGTGTTTCGCCCACAAAATACGCCGTTCCCACTTGACCAATATATCCTGAGAGGAGCTTCGAGACGACTCGACAATGCGATAAGGGGCTGTATCAGAGGTAAGACTGAGAGCACAGCAGAAGTTATCCAGTTTATTTCAAATTTAAATAAGGACAGTGAACAGCGACGTCGGGTTTATTTTCCTAAAGTAAAAGGATGCACGAGTCCCGTGGAGTGTGAGGTAACCTGGAGACAACAGAGTGGGTTTTACTGTACAAAACTCCCAGTGTTATTAAATACTTTACAGTGAATGTGACAACTTTGTACAGCATTCGCGCCCCACCAAAAAAACAACATTTAAACATCTTGTAATTTAAAAGATTAGCGACGATATGCACCGTCTAACCGGCCTTTCTACAGGGTTTTCACAAAATCCTTTTCCCCTCCCGCCCCATGTTGTTTTTCTACAGTGTGGGCAGAGAGATTGCGAGGGCTTGAACCCACAAACTTCTGCCTGAAGAGGCGAGGCGAGAGCGATAGCGCTGAGCCAGGCCGACACACTGTGGTGTCCCTGTAGTGCTCATCTCCCTTGTGCCCTCCGCTCCACCATCGGTGGCCGGACTTTGAGCCACTGCACTCCGAACACTCTGGAACTCCCTCCCTCTATCCTCCTCCGCCTCGCCACCCCCCTCCTTCCCCATCTTCAGGAAGACCTCCCTCTTCGGCCGTACCTATGGTCACCTCCTCCCCCCGGCTCTGCCACGGTCGAGCACTCTGGGAGGGACGCTGCCCTGCCTGAGGGACGCGGTGTAAATGCCAGTTGTATTGTGTTGTCCTTGAGCTGAGCTCCAGACAGCTCGGACTGACCACTTTGTGTTGCTGGGGGAGTGACGGGGGGAGAGAGAGAGAGAGAGAGAGACAGACATGCTCCCGGCTCAGAGCAGATTGACTCCGTGTTTCAGTAGCTTCTGTTTGGCTTTCCCGGGTAAAGTGAAGATGCTGTCGTGAGGGTTGGGAACGCCAGAGTTCCGGACGGGAGCTCCCAGCTGCTGGAAGTGAGTCTCCTGGGCCGGGCTGCGGCAGCTGTAGACCGCGGTGAGGGTGTTCCTGGCGGGAGAAAGGATATTGGAACAAACCGGGGATTCTCCGTACAACAACAACAACAATTTACACAACGCCCCACAAACTTCTGAGGCCACAGAGAGAGAGAGAGCGCTACCCACTGAGCCAGACTGACACACAGAGCTTACCGGACAGACATCTCGTGGATGGTGGGGCTGCGGGTCAGGTCAGTGTGCATCAAGCCGGCGGCTCTAACAAAGTGGCTGTCCTGTGTGCCCAGGGTCGGGGGCAGATGAGCTGTGGGGGGGGGGGGGAGGACGAGTGTTAGAAGCCAATAAACCGCGCGGTTACAGCCGGGGAGGACAGGCAAAGCGTGGTACGGGATCCAGCTCAGCGAGTGCGTGCTGGGGTTCAGACTCCGCACAAACCTGCCATGGGTTTGGGATGATAATAATAATAATAATGACCATCCTTACATTTGATACCGGGCCCTTATCACGTTGTTGAGACGGCTCAATGGGCCGCGCAGGATATATTGTAAAGTGTAGTGACTGTGGGCGAAATGCGGCAGACGGCCCATTACGCCCAGAGACGTCCCCACAAACAGTCGTGGATTGAGTGAGCAAATTAGTATAACGTTTACATTTTTTTCGTTCTCTGAAGGGTTTATTACCCCCGGGGAAAACAGTCTGCCAATCGCCTAACAACTGGGTTCCTACTCAACCTGTTCATATACGGCTTTCTCCCTCTCCCAACCCCCCCCCCCCACACACACACACACACACACTTACCTGTCAGTACGTGCTGCACACAGTCGTAATGAGCAAAGTTACAGCTGGGTTTGGTGGCCGGGACCTTTGCTCTGGGCAAGGTCTCGCTCAGATGGACTTCCAGACCGTTCAGAGACGCCAAGGTGCTGTGATACTGGGGAGGAGAGGGTTTAAAAAAAAAACAATAACATTATCTCCCAACTCGCTGTTCGAATGACTGTTGTTGAGGGGAAACGATAGGGAGGGAGAGAGAGTCTCGCTTCTCTTTTCCAACAGAGAGTGTGAGTGATGGAGCCGGACTGACGACTTTTGCCCCAAACTGGATCTAATTAGCGCTTTCACTGCCCCCAATGCCTCAAACCCCAGCAGACAGACCTCTCGGCTTTGGTTACTCACAACATCCTCAATGGCGTTCTGGTCAAATCCAAACCCATCTTCGGCGAGGAGAGCGATCACCAGCTCCTTCACCGTGTGGACGTACAGAGCCATCTCCACCAGCAGGGGGCGTTGGCTGGCCTCTTCCGCGCTGGGAGACCCCAGGGTCCTGGCCCGTTCCACTGCTTCCTCACCTTCCTCTTCCTCCGCCCTGAATCCCGCTGCTCGTCCAGAATCCTTCAGGCCTGCGTCTGAAGCCCTGAGGAACTCCAGGGGGTCAACCGACCCACAGCCCACCTTCTCCGGAGACGCCGGGCCGGGTAACGGTGCCATGTCCATGTACTCCTTGGCCATTGATGAATTCCCATCTCCAGGCCGGCCAATCCCCACCCGGACGTCCCTCTTCCCGCAGAGACCGGACTCCACTGACGTCCTCTCTGGGAGGGCAGTGGGCCAGGCTGCGGTGAGGCCATCGCTGGACCTGGCTGGGCTGTAATCAGCGGCATTTTCACACCCTGACTCGGAGGCGACCCTCAGGCTGTCTGTGTTCCCTCGGCCTCTGTCCAGGCCACGATCACGATCGTCGCTTCCCGTCACCTCCCTGTACACGTCAAGCCTTGCCTTGTCCAACTGGGCTGAAGGTTTGAACTCTGAAGCAGGAAACGCCGGTCGGCTTTTCTCCTGGATGGAATAATAATAATCCCTCCATTTGATATCACAGTCCGTGTGGACCGGAGAGAGCCCGGGGTCGTGGGCTGAGGGGGTCAGTGTCTCGCAGCTCTGGGAAAGGTCGCTGACGGTGACTTGGTGTGTTTCTTGGTCGCCGGGATTCAGGTACGGGGTTTCGAACGGACCACAGGTGTTCTCGCCCCCCGGGGAGTGCCAGACCTCACAGTCCAGGGTGTCTGACAGCGTCCTGGAGAGATAAGGAGGCCTCGCCATCTTGTCCGTGTTCAATTCCGGCTCTGGAGAGGCTGGGACCCTGCAGAGGGAAGAAACCCAGGCTTTAATCATCCTCATTCCCATAGCTCAGTGGGTAGAGCCCTCGCCTCGCAAGCGAGAGGACCTGGGTTCGATTCCCGGCCAGGTCAGGGCGAAACTTTAGGTAAGTTTCTTTGCTCAACACACGCGTCTCTGTTTACCAGCAGTGAGTGAGTAGCAACCCAGTTGTTAGTCGATTGGCGGATTGCTTTGCAGGAGTAATAATCCCTCCAAAACAAATGTGATCAATCCACTACTGTTTGTGGGGGACGCTGCTGTGCGCAATTTGCTGCCGAGTTTTGCCCACAAGATACACAGTCACTTCACTTTACACTGTATCCCGTGAAGAGCTTTGCGACGTCTCGACAACGTGATGAGGCGCCGTATCAAATTCAGGGATTATTATTATGAAGGTGTAAAGTGTCTCACCCCTGTGCCCACTCGAAGGGGAACCTCCGTAGACTCACAGCCTCGTCTTCGGTAACAAAGACGGTCAGAATCGCCACGTTTTGAGGCAACAAGACTTCCTCTGTGTCAAAGAGATGGTCAGGTTAACACACACACACACAGTCACTACACCTCACAGTAATCCCTGCAAAGGCCTTTGACATGTACTGACCCATCTCAAACCCATCACTGTGCCCAGGACATATGTTCTTCTATGTTACTCCACCAGGGGGCGCACTTCCACTGGACAGACCTGGTCTGTAAGTTCTCTCCCAGCAGAGGGTTAAGGAACCCACTGGCTGTAGGGCTCCATCTAATGGTGTGATGATTCTCTGGGGATTTAGTCGGGTGGGTGTCTGACACGCGCGGAAACCCATCACCGTTGCTTAAGAGTCTCTCAACCCAACTGAGAACTCCAGGCCTCCCACCTGCACATGGAAATCCCGGAGAGAGATTGTTGGAATGGAATGCGCTCTCTCTCCCTGGAGAGACGCATCCTGTTTACCTAATTCCGGAGAGTATTAGGCGCAGGTTGGTGAGAGCCTCCCTGGGGGGGAGCCCAGAGTATGCGTTGTGGGGTAACTGCTGGGGTCTAACCAGCTAAAACCATATAGATTGATTGAGACCACTATCTGGCCAGCTTTGGTGTCCAACTGGGATCACCCTACTCTGTAGGGCTTTGACTTGAAAGGCCTCGGTCTGATAAGGAAAATTTCTATTTGTACAGATTACTAACCAGATTGTGTGAGCATCATTTGTCTGGCACTGCACATCTGTGCAAACAAATGTCGGGTAGAGTTGGAGCCTTAAAACATTCCAGAGGAGGAGGAGGAGGAGAGGAACCTTACCTGAGCTTCTGCTGGGACCCTGGAAATAAAGACAATGAGAGAATTTAAACAGACAATATTTGTGCCCAAAGTTACTGACAAAGAGCAGGTCGAGACAACACCACAACAAAGCAGGAACCCCGGCTGGTGTTCGAAAAGAGCTTCGGAGGGTATCAACCCAGGTGTATTGTAATAATAATAATCCTCGCATTCGATACAGCACCTTATCACGTCGCTGAGACGTCTCAAAGCGCTTCACAGGATACACTGTGAAGTGCAGTGACTATTTTGTGGGCGAAACGCGGCAGCCAATTGCGCACAGCCACGTCCCCACAAACAGTCGTGGATTCAGTGACCAAATTATTGTTGCTATTTATCTTTTGGTAGGCAGGGGCGGGAAGGAGAGTGACCGAAGGCACGGTCGAAGAGGAGGTTTTTGAGACAGGTCTTGAAGGGGGCGAGGGAAGGGGCGAAGCGGTGGGACTGCGGGGTGGAGTTCCAGAGGGTGGGTGGGGGGCAGAGTGGCTGAAGGCCCGCCCGGCAATGGTGGGGGCGAACGAGGCGGGGGACGTGAAGCAGACCGGAGCCTGCTGGGCGGAGGGAGTGAGCGGGATGGTAGGGGGTTAGGAGGTGGCAGAGGTTCGGGGAGAGCAAGGCCATGGAGGGCTTTGAAGGCGAGGACCAGGATCTTGAACTGTATCCTCTGTGTGATGGGAAGCCGGTGGAGTCGGGCGAGGATGGGGGTGATAGGGTTGCGGAGGCTGGTGCGGGAGAGGACACGGGCTGCAGAGGGCTCACCTGAACGCTGGCTCCAGGCTGGTAAGCCAGCACTTTGGCTGTTAGCACAGGTGGCAGCTGAGTGCTGACAATTCTGTAAAATAGAGTACAGTTTAGTCCGCTCTACACGTCACCGTCTATTGAGAGATTATTTAAACAACAACACGCACTTGATACGCTGCCCTGGAGGTGGGGAAGTGTCTCAAAGCATCGCTGAGCGAGTAAAATAGGGACTTACAGGTTCGAGTAAAGGATGCAGCCGGCCAGCACATGAGGGCAGCGCTGACAGGTCTGTAATATGAGAGCAGCCTTCAGCAACAAGAGCGGGTCCACCTGTTTGGGAGACAGAGCAAACACTTCCTAATAATAATAATAATAATAATAATTGTGGCATTTGATACAGCGCCTGATCACGTCGTTGAGACGTCTCAAAGCGCTCCACTGTAAAGCGAATTGATTGCATAATTTGTGGGCGAAAGAGAGAGAGGGGGAGAGAGTGCATTTACATACCAGACACGTGTAAATGTCGTGTGTGTGTGTGTGTGTGTAGCTCTCAGTCTGGTTTGGGGGTGGGGAGGGGTCTCTTAAACGTGACAATGGGGTTTGTGTGGGTGTCGGACACGCGGCGGATCATTATTACAAGGTGTCAGTGAAGGTTTACTTTGGTCCTGTCCAGGTTCCAGAGAGCGTTGAATATCTTGTGCAGCTCACAGGGGTGTTGCTGGATGTGAGCTGTGTAAAGGTCCCACTGACGCCCCAGTACTTCCTGCCGCTCGGTCTGAAGGTGGGAAAGCAAGAGACAATAATAACAACAATAATAACTAATAATAACAATAACAACAATAATAAATAACAATTAACAACAATAATAAGAATGACAGCAATAATAATAACAATAATAAACAACAGTAATAATAATATAACAACAACAATCATAACAATAATAATCACAATGATAACAACAAGAAGCAGCAGCAACAACAAGAACAGTTTGCATTTATTTCGGGCCCTTCACAAGGAGCAGCGTCTCTGAGCGCTGATCACAGACAGGGATCAGTTATTAGAAGCTTTGTTTCGGGAGGGTTGGAAGCTCCTTCATTCAACGTCAGAAACGACTGGGAACAACGTCCTGGACTGTATTCCTGACCACGTTCACCGTCCCTCTCACCTCATCAATCCCGATTCCCTCCGTGTAAATACGGTTATTTTTTTTTACCCAATTTACAAAGGAAGGTAACTGAGGCCAGAGATGCCACATCACAGGCAAAACATATCGTGTCGCTCGTCACCTGGTAAATATGTTGAATGGACCCGTTGTAAAATGTGAAGACACCGATAAGTTGGTCCAGAAAACATCTGCAGCTCACGTCCGGGATATCCATCGTACACCCGAGAGCCTGAAACAGCACAGAGAACAGACACTTGACTTAAATAACACCCGTTCAGCCTGGCCCCAGCTTCCTGCTCGTCCCTCGCGCCCTCCGCCCCCACCATCGGAGGTCGCGCATTCAGCCACTACGTCCCGGATCCCTGGAACACTCCCCATCACTCCCTCCGCCTTGACCCCACCTTTCAATTCCCGCCCGAAAACCTTCCTGTTCGACCGCGCTTACGGTCACCTCTTCCCCACCGGCTCGGAGTCAGGCTCCGCCACTGTTAAGCTCTGAGTCGCTGCCCTGCCCGGTGGGCGCTGTACAAGTGCAAGTTGTTGTTGTTGTTTATGTCGGCCCAGAGTTCAGCTGTGGGTTCGGGTGTCTCACCCGAACGTCAGTGCTCTCTGCCCCCCTTGTCCTGCGCTGCGCTGGGCTGGGCTGGAGCGTCAGCCTGGACCGTGTGAGTTCAGGGTCTCAGGAGGAGGTCGGGTTGGGTGGTGCTGTCGTACGTACCCAAAGGAAGTTCCTGTCTGAACGCACAGCGAATTTCAGCTTCCTGAGCCGGATGAGGGTCGGGGGGGATCCGGCAATGTCGGTGAAACAGCAAATCACCCCCGCGATTTGTCCAATGAGAAACTCTTGCAGATCAGAAGGCGTCTACACCCCAACCCCCAAAAACACAGACACGTACACACAGAGACATGCACGCACACAGACACACACACACACACACAAACAGACAGAGAGGTCAAAGATGTGCTTCCGAAAATCTCAGCCATCAATCGTGCAGACAGCCAGCGCACGCAGACACACACACACACACATACAATACGGTTTGGCCGCGTGCAATTGGTTGCCGCATCTCACCCAAGCAATGCGTGTCCGTGCGGGTCAGACGCCCGGCTGACCAAAAAGAAACCGTGTGCAAACAGGGAATTTAATTATATAATGATGTCAAATACAGGAGCTTATGTGTAACTCGGGCTCTTAACTTTTGGCTCTGCAATTACTCTCGTACGAAAGACAGAGTGTGGGGCGAAACCGTAACAATAATAATAATCTGGCATTTGATACAGCGCCTTATCACGTCTTCGAGACGTCTCAAAGCGCTTCACAGGATAATACTGTAAAGTGCATTGACTGTATATTTTGTGGGTGAAACACGGTAGTCAATTGCACCCAACAGCGTCCCCACAAACAGTACTATTATTATATTATTGTTATAATTCTGGTCACACCTGGGAGGGGAAGAAGTAATAGATGCCAGCTCTGGTTGGGTCGCCCTCTTCTCTCACTTTCGAGCAGTCATAGAGAAAGAAATATATACACCTGGAGGAAAATCACACACCCATCCACCACCATATTATTATCATTATTATTATTAATAACCTTTGCATTTGGTATAGCAAGTTTCACGTCATCAAAGCACTTCGCAAAATATATTATTAGAGTGGAGTGACTGTATATTTTGTGGGTGAAACGTGGCAGCCAATTTGCGCACAGCAGCACAGCACAAACAGTCGTGGATTGAGTGACCTATTAGTACCCTCGGAAATCGATCCGCCACTCGACTAACAACCGGGTTCCTACTGACCGCTGGTAAACACAGGCGTGTGTGTGTGTGGAGTGAGGAAACTTGCCTAAGGTTTCAGGAATCGAACCCGGGTCCTCTCGCTTGCGAGGCGAGCGATCTAACCACGACCCTACAGGTCTCTATGAATTATTGTTATGACAGTATCTGTTGGCGGGGACATCACTGCGTGCAAACCGGCAGCCGGTTCCGCCTGAGAGACTTCCCGCGAAATCCTTGAGTTTTCCTCCCGACGTGAAAGCGTTCTGTGATCGACATTAACGATGAGTTATTCTTTTGATCGCTCACCAGTCTGGGGCTCGCTGCTGTCGACTCGCCTGGCTTGCCATCGATCCAACCCTCCTCGAAAGGGAACGTGGGATCAGGGAGTTGTTGTCACTTGACAAACATCTCACTAACCTGCAACGATTCTCCCTATAGTGCGGAAAGCACTGGTAATGGGGAGGGGGGCCGGGGAGGGAGAGAGACACTGAACTAAAATGTCCAGTTGCTGTTTCAGTCGTTCCCTAACTCTCTCGCCACGTAATACAAGAGCAAATTGTTTGTGTGAATTGAGGATTATACTGTATTCCATTTAAACCTCAGGATAAATAGGAAGCACTTTGTTTTAAACTATGTAGATTATATATATTAAAAAGCCAAATTTTGCTCTCCTGTCTCCCCCCCCCCTCCCCCCGAAATTAAACCACGGTTTAACGATTGATCTGAGCTGTTTTTTTCCGACGCGGGTTTAAAGGTTATAAATGAAGGGGTGTAACCCCCTCATTCAATCCTCCGACCAAACGAGGAAGTAGGAAGATATGATACGTCTCTCTCCTTAAAGTTTCTGGGCTGATGTGATCTGATTCAAGCGCTCTGGGACTCTGCCCTGCGTGAGGGGCGCGAGATAAATGCAAGTTGTTGTTGTTGTTGTTGTTGTTGATGATCCATTCCCGAACTGAGTAGCCACCGGTGATGGGGTGATCGCTCTTTCTCTCATGCCCATGGACACAGGGGGTGGGGGGGCTTTTCAAATCGCCTTCAGTACTGACACACCATCACACACACCACTCACTCACTCATTCACTCACTCTCTGACAGATCTCTCTCACTATCTCTCTCACTCGCTTTCTCTCTCTTAAAAATCCTTCCTTTTTGTCTTAACATGAAAGCCTTCCTCCCTCCGCGCCCACACACTCGCTCACAAGCCCCAGGGCAGCTCGGAAGTAAATTCTCTCCCAAAGCGGAAGGATTACCCCGAGTCGGCTTTTGCGAACTTAATTTGCAGCCAATAATCTGCACGTTAACCAGTTGTGGGCCGGCCTGGTGTCAGTGCTCCTACATTTAACCCTTCGCCTGCACTCAGCTCTCAAGCTTTGCATTTGGCTTCTGCGTTTGCGGAGGCGAAGGAGCGAAGTTCGGGGGACTGGACCGGATCCGTCTCTGGCGCGTGAATCCCCGTCAAGCGCTTTGAGACGTGCGGCGGACCTGAAGTGGTTGGCGGGGAGTGGGGGGCGGGGGGGGCGGGGATCGGTGGGGGAGAGGTGGGGGGGGGAACGGCACCAAATCCAAGCGAGAGGTGTTTCTCAATAAATTGGCCGTTGATAATCAGCACCGTGTCAACGTCTCCCCACTGGGGGGAGGACCGGGGGGGAGGGCGGGGGGTGGGGGGGGAGGGGGGGTGGGGGGGAGAGGGGGGGGGGGGGAGAGGGGGGTGGGGGTCGGGGTGGGAGGGGGGGCATTGGGTCAACACCACATTATTATTATTGATATCGATATCGATATTGGTGTTACTATTAGATGAAGATGATGATGATGAAGATGATGATGATGAAGATGATGATGGTGAAGATGGTGATGATGAAGATGTTGATGATGAAGATGATGGTGATGGTGATGAAGATGATGAAGATGATGGTGATGATGATGAAGATGTTGATGATGAAGATGATGGTGATGATGATGAAGATGGTGATGATGAAGATGATGTGATGATGAAGATGTTGATGATGAAGATGGTGGTGATGAAGATGATGATGATGGTGATGATGATGAAGATGGTGAAGGGGGAGGAGCAGCATCTGGTCCACAGCTCCGCCCCCGGACACACCCACAGCCCTACGTCACACACTCAGCCCCGCCCAGAGCCCGGAGCCCCGCCCACTGTATAAGATGGCGGCGGAGAGCGAAGTGCTGGTCAGTGAGAGAGACACAGAGGGGGAGTGGGTGAGGGGGGGGTCTGTGTGAGGGGGGAGTGTGGTGGGGGGGGAGTGTGAAGGGGGGGAGTAGGGGGGGAGGGTGTGTGTGAGGGAGAGTGTGTGTGGGGGAGGGGGAGTGTGTGTGGGGGTGGGGGGGAGTGTGTGTGGGGGGGGGGAGTGTGTGTGGGGGTGGGGGGAGTGTGTGGGGGGGGTGGGGGGAGTGTGTGTGAGGGGGGGGTGGGGGTGGGGTGGGGGGGGGAGTGTGTGTGGGGGAGGGGGAGTGTGTGGGGGGGTGGGGGGTGTGTGAGGGGGGGGGGTGTGGGGTGGGGTGGGGGGGGGAGTGTGTGTGGGGGAGGGGGAGTGTGTGGGGGGTGGGGGAGTGTGTGGGGGGTGGGGGGGAGTGTGTGTGGGGGGGAGGGGGAGTGTGTGGGGGGGGTGGGGAGTGTGTGAGGGGGGGGTGGGTGGGGGGTGTGTGGGGGGGGGGGGAGTGTGGGGGGGGGGAGTGTGGGTGGGGGGGGTGGGGGGGTGGGGGT